CTCTAGCGGTGTGCAGTGGTGGTGAGGAGTCAGTGGTTGATTTGTGGTTGTGCGCAGTGGTGTGCAGAACGTTATTGGTGAGATGCTGGTGGCGATGGGTCTTTGGAGGTGTTGCCGGATGTGGTAGCGGTGGCGTTTAAGTGGCGGAGGTTATGTTGGATGTGATGGTGGTGTTGGCTGTGCTGTGTGTTTGACGGCGGTGAGGTGGTGCCGGCTTGCAAGCAAGCAGCTGAGGCGGGTTTTTATTTTTTATGGTGGTGGCACAACTGTTGATGGTGGTCATAGATTAGACTGTGACCGCATGATGGACTATCGGTGACCTTAAAATTCGACAATTTGTGACTAAAAATTAATCTGTGATCTGTAATTTTTTGATCTGTGACCAATAAAATAATATATGACCTATAAAATTATTGATTTGTGACCTCGAAATAATCTGCGACCTGCAAAATATTTGATCTGTGACCGATAAACAAATTATGACCTATAAAAATTTTGACATATGCTGTGATTATTTGAAAATAACTCGTGACTATGAATAAAATTCTGATTTGTGACCTGAACTGTGATTTGTGACTTGAGTTGTGACCTGGACTGTGACTTGTGACCTGAGTCGGAGCAGTTGCCGGAACGGTCACCGGAATCGAAGTAGTGGTCGGAACGATCGCCGGAGCAGTCGCTGGAATCGACACCGGAGTGTCGCCGGAATAGCCGATGGACCGGTCGTCGGAGCGGTGGGGGTGGTGGAGGTGGGGTGAGTTAATTGGGAATTTTGAATTCTTACTTGGGATGGTTATTTGGTGTGAAGTATTGAACAATGTCAACAAAATAAGTAAATAACTATAAATAGAAGATATGCATATTGACGTGGCTATGGAAAAGGGTTAATTTCATTTTTCAAAAGCAATAGAGAAAATGTATTTGAATCGACCATGATTAATGTTAAAGAGGTTGCTATGCTTATAAAATATTATATCTAGGGGCCTCATAGTAATTTGTTGCCCAGGTCCTCAAAATTTTCATGGTCGATCTGCTCTTAATTGCTAACTAGATAAGTGATGAAAACACAATATTTTTTATTCATTCAATCTGTACATGTTGTTATTGAGCTCTAATGTAGTGAGACATCATCAGGACATCTTATAGAGTTATAATTATGTATTTTTGTGGGGCTTTTTTCTTCTTTTTTTGTTGTAAGGGTAAAGGAGGAAATTACATTGGTTAAGATGTATGTTCTAAGAGATACCTTTCAATGTGGTAATTAAGAGCATGAACTTGATAGAGTTGTGTGCATCACAGTCCTGTTAAATTGACATGTGATTATTAAAAATATGGATAGGTTCTTTGTGCATAGAATTGGGGAGAAAGACTTGACATACACTTATAATAAGATACATATGAAAAGAAAAAGAAATTCATTTACAACAATAATGCAAATACATAGTATGCGTATTATTTTCAATTGATCATTATCGTGATTTATATAACTTTTATAATAATTTTATTGTGTACCTTATGCTGGTCACGTTTATTGAAAATGTCTCTAAAATATATTGGTATCAATTTTGATATAGTATGTCATTCACGAGTATTTACACGTGTATATACAACATTTGTACACAATTGAGAATCCTCCATGCACGACATTGTTGGATAGATGAATTAACAACGTAAGAATGTTTTATTGTTCAATACTGGCACATCCAGTCAAGCATTGCGTGCATACGTGATATTTATTGGCATCTTGAGTGGGAGACCTTTCGGGTGATCAAAAGGAAGACATTGGTGTACAGTGTCACAAGAGGATGATCCACTTGACTATGTCTTTATTATATTATAAGTATTGACGTCGTGAGCGGGATACTTCTTGAGCGATCATAGAAAAAGCTAGGGGATGTATCTCTTAGTCTCTGGTAGGTTACAAAATGATGGTCCACTTGACTATGTCGATAGATTATTGACCATATAATTATTGATATTGATATTGTCCACATCTCTTTCCGATGCACAGTAGGTGGGTTAAGAAAGCATTTAAATGATATGCTTTCGAATTTACTTCAATGAATATTTGAATACGATGTATTACAAGCATGATCTTTTGAAAGGAAATGGCATGGAAATTTACATGTACTTATAGTATGTATAATTTTTTACTTAGTATGGTTTAGCTCATGTAATTCTTGCATTATTGGCGAGTATGGCGAGTTTAGAACTCCTCAAATGACATGGCTGGTTGTTGGAACTCCTACAGGATTTCAAGGGTCAATATACATGAATGACTACTTGACAAGTTATTTTGGATTGTTGTTT